ACAGAGTGTGGGAGGAGCTGATCTGAGTGTCAATCAAACAGAGTGGGGGAGGAGCTGAACTGACTGTCAATCAAACATAGTGGGGGAGGAGCTGAACTCATTAAAGACTGTGATTGGTGGAGGCTTTGAGAATCATCAAATACTGGTAAATAATGAACTCAAACATCACAATAAAACTCCCAGAAAACAATCAAACATCATCAAGATGAATTAATCTTTCTGTAAATGCCATTCCTCAGAACTGGATTAGATTGGATGATGAATTATTATGATGTTGTTTCTAAAAAGGAAAAATCTAATCTTTCCAAATCTCATCTCTTCATTTAATGAGATGTTCAACCATAAAACACACAGATCTCCAACTCGTACAGGGTCCGTACACACACACACCGTCAAACACAAACACAGGACTTTTCAAGCACCACTTTATGGTTTTCAAGGAGAGATCTCACTTATCAGACAATATCTTTATTATCTTTCAAACTCTAAAATATATAAACAAAAATAAAGCAAACCGGATGCGGATTCAGAGACTGAGGATCTTTAACCACTGAAAGACACGATGAGAAAGATCTCGCTCTCCTTATTCAGACTGATTTATTCTCATGAATATATGATTGAGCTGAAGAATCAACGCTGTATCATATACTTGGATATTAATGAGCAATATCACACTCATAGTCATGTGACACTGCTCTATATCTATATATCTATATCAGAAGGGCTCATTTAGTGTGAAACGATTGTTTTATCGATAAAATTAAACACTTCTTTCACTAATTAAAGCACCTCTTCATAAATATGTCCGTTTTTCAGGACTAACATTTCAAAACGCAGTGGTGGAATGTAACGAAGTACAAATACTTCGTTACTTTACTTAAGTACATTTTTCACGTATCTTTACTTTACTTAAGTACAATAAATAGTGCATACTTTTTACTTTTACTTCGTTACATTTTGCAGCAATTATTCTACTTTCTACTCCACTACATCTCTACAACTTCTGTTACATTTTCGTTACATTTCCTAATCAGTTTTTCCCCTGCCAAAACGTAATCTGACCGTCCGTTCGTTGCACGTTTGTCTCACCAGTGACGTTTGGTTGCCATAGATACAGTATATCAACCCGGTCACACTAAATGCGTCTCGCACGCAGTGTGTTTATCGTGCAACTCATACGCGAAAATTTGTTGTTACGTGCATAGGAAACACCGTGTGTAATATATGTTTGGTTCGGTTAGGATTATGGCAAGCCAAGAGGTTCAGAATTACACCATAAATTTATCTCGTTTACTGCCAAACATAGTTATTAACATATAGTAAGGATAAGCATGATATTGCCTAATTGCAAGCTTGTTTCAGAAATGGTGACATTTTTTTCCATCATTATTGAACATCATTATAGGAGTAGGCTATTAGGTTGAATGAGTTAGAATTAAATGTTTTATTAATCATTAGAAAATAGACATTAAGATAATAAATTGTTATGCAAGTACTTTTACTTTTAATACTTAAAGTACATTTAAAATAAAGTACTTTTTACTTTTTACTTAAGTATGGTTGTCATTGTGTTACTTCTACTTTTACTAAAGTAAATATTTATCTGGGTATTTGTACTTTTACTTAAGTACTGAGATTCAGTACTTCCTCCACCACTGTCAAAACGTCACATTCCAGCACTTTCACTTCCTGTACGAACCCTGATCTCAGCGCTGTGCGGTTCGACTAGTCGAGACTGTTTTCCAAAGATGGCTCCTGCCTGTACACAGGAAGTGAACTGTCTTTATGAAGGATCACGCTCACCTCGATTGGCCATGGCGGTCTCGATGATGTCGAGCGTGGGGTCGTCCTCACAGAGGTCATAGGGCATGTTCCCATCAGAGTTCACCGCTAGGAGATCAGCGTCACTGCGGAGAGACACATCACTGATGAGGATCTTGAGGAGGTCACACACACACACACACACACACACACTCACTGCTGGATGAGGATCTTGACGAGGCCCGTGTGTCCACAGGTGGCGGCTGCATGAAGGGGCGTCCAGAGCTCGTTGTCCTGCGCGTTCACAGTCGCTCCGTGAGCCAGAAGGATCCGCACCATCTCCTCATAGTTATCAATACAACACTGACAGACAGAGAGAGAGAGAGAGAGAGAGAGAGAGAGAGAGGAAAGTGAGTATGTTTGAGTGTGTGTGTGTGTGTGTGTGTTGGGTGGGGATGGAATTTTCCAGTGAGTGTGTGGATGTTTCATATTGTTTGTTTCCAACACCAGCAGAATCAGTGTGTTCTGGTTAAACTGCCTACAAATGTGTGTGTGTGTGTGTGATGATGATGATCGTCCTGAAACCTGAAAACTAGACCTACAACTTTTAAGTGAGTGATAAAACTCACCAGTGCGCTAGAGTAAGGTCAAAGGTTATGGAGTTCAAATATGGTTTAATGAAGCTTCTTATACAGCTTTTATATATTTTTTATTTAATAAAAATAAAAACACAAAACAAGATGTTCACGGAGCTTAAACCGAGCGCCGGTGTTTCTCGTGATGGTGTGTGTGTGTGTGTGTGTGTGTTTGCTTTCAAGCTTTTACAGCAACAAACATCAGAAAATCCCGTCAGATCAAACCGTTACACAACACACACACACACACAGAGGAGTCAACGCTCTGAAACACACACACACACACACACACACACACACACAGAGAGAGTGTGTATGAGTGAGTGTGTGTTTGTTTGAGTGTGATAGAGAGAGAGTGTGTGTGTGCGTGAGTGAGGTGTATATGAGGTGTGTGTATGATTTTGTGTTTGTGAAAGAGAGTGTGTGTGTGTGTGTGTGTGTGTGTCCACCTGGTGTAGGGCCGTCAGACCGTCTTCATTGCACAGATCCGGACTGACGTTGTTCTTCAGTAAATATCGCACTGAGAAACACAGAGACACAAACACATTATTCATGTTCCTTCACATTAACACACACACACACACACACACACACACACATCTGTATTAAACCCGGTCAATTTGTTGTTTTAGTGTATTTTTATGTTATGTGAGAGAGTGTGTGTGTGAAGTCTGGACTTTTCTCCCTGTTCTAGAGTTCGGCCCCTTTTAATCTCACACACACACACACACACACTTGCTATTAATGGACGGCTATATTTGCCGCGCAGAAGAGAAGCTGATTTAACCGGAAACAAGAAACAAGGCCATCGGGCGCCGAGAGACGACATCACTTCATTTCACACACACACTTCAATAAAACACACCGTGTAGACCGGACATGAACGACTGAGATGTAAAGTGCAGATACACACATTTATGAAGCACACACACACACACACACAGGGTCACATTCAGTCCTGTCTAGGTTTCCGTGTGGTGTTTACATTCTAATTCCACACACACACACACTCTCTCTCACACACACAAACTCCCACAGACACACACACACACACACATACACAAACATACTTAAAGGAGTAGTTCACTTTTTTTAATTTACTCGCCCCCGTGTCATCCGAGATGTCCATATCTGTCTTTCCTCAGTCGAAAAGAAATGAAGGTTTTTGATGAAAACATTCCAGGATTTTTCTCCATATAATGGACTTCAATGGGGACCAAACGGTTCAAGGTCCAAATGAGAGTTTCAGTGCAGCTTCAAATGTGTTTAAACGACAGCAGACGATGAATAAGGGTCTTATCATGCGAAACGATCGCTTATTTCAAAACTAACTTTTCTAAGGACAAATGCTAGCCTTGCTCTATTCTGTGAGGCGCGTTTGTAACGTCACGTAATACGTAATTACGTTCAAAAGGTCACGGGCGACGTAGCCGGAAGTACAGAATCAAAATCGTCCGACATCGTTGTTTTACCTTTTAATTCATTTTTTTTGTAAACGGCGTTTGAGTTAGTTTATACGTTCAACCTATGCGTTCAACTTGTAAACACTCTGACTCTGTACTTACGGCTACGTCGCCCGTGACCTTTTGAACGTAATTACGTATTACGTGACGTTACAAACGCGCCTCACAGAATAGAGCAAGGCTAGCATTTGTCCTTAGAAAAGTTACATTTTTGGAATAAGTTTTGAAATAAGCGATCGTTTCGCATGATAAGACCCTTATTCATCATCTGGTGTCGTTTAGAGACATTTGAACAGTTTGCACTGAAACTCTCATTTGGACCTTGAACCGTTTGGACCCCATTGAAGTCCATTATATGGAGAAAATCCTGGAAAGTTTTCATCAAAAACCTTCATTTCTTTTCGACTGAAGAAAGAAAGACATGGACATCTTGGATGACACGGGGGCGAGTAAATTATCAGCAAAAGTTTTTTCAAAAGTGAACTAATCCTTTAAACACAAACACACACACACACTCTCACACAGACACACACAAGCATAGTCTCACACACAGACACACACAAACTCTCACACACAGACACACATACTCAAACACAAACACTGAAACACAAACATACTCAAACACACACACACACACACACACACACTGATTCTCTGGTGTTTTCGCTGCATTCCGGCGCAGGGAGGAGCAGCAGACGAGATACAACACACACACCATTACAGAGAGAGACAGGAAGTGTGTTATCTGTGTGTGATGATGATGATGAACGGGCAGATTCCAGGACGCCTGTGTGTGGGCTCGTGTCAGGACCTCTAGTGGGCTTTAATGACTTCACATTCTCCACACACTCGACACACTAACGGCTCCCAGAACACACCAGTGGAGCCTCAGCTCATCTCAACCAACATTTACGCTTTTATCTTTAGTTAAAGTCCCCCTGTGGTGTAGATCCAGCGTTTAATGTTGTTTGTGTGTGTGTGTGTGTGGTGTGTTTAATCCGCTTTAACACACACCGTGACCAAAGACAGTTTTAAAAACACGCTTTGAAATCGCTGGTGTTTCTGACGGCACAAACCACCTTGTAACCAATCAGATCAACGTGTGATCGACAACCAGTGGATCTCTGAGTGGGTGGAGGCGGGGCTCATTTGCATATTCATAGAACCGCGCATACTAAATGAGGCGAGGGTGTCGAGTTACACTCAAGACGTTTTAAACACTTATCGACTCCAGGGGGAGTTTCACTATAATAACTCTGTTCATATGAATATGTGCAGAAATGATGATGATGATGATGATGAGTCAATAAGCTGTTCGCACAAACTGAAAGCGCATTATTGATAATTTAATCTTCACAACAGCCACGTCAATGTCCGACACTCAGCGTTTATCTGCAGTCATTTAAATGTACTTTATAAAGCGGATATAGAACATCATGTTAAAGTGAAACAGAGATAATATCACAACTTTTGCTTTATGTTTAATGTGATAATTACAACCTATACAATGAATTAAAAAATATAGAAAAAAATAATAATTAAATAAGCCATACAAAATAAAGAGTAAATAATTTCAAAATAAAACACATACTGAAAACATTTGTTTACACGGCTGTCGAGTGATTATTAACCCATATTAGATTAGAGAAGCATGAACACGTGTCATTGCATTATTTCAATATTACAGTAAACGGTTTCGGAGGCGATTTTCTTATTTAATGACGTTTGAAAAGTCTAAAGTGTATTTCTGGATGTTTACTAGAACAGTAGATGATCAATGCGGTTACATGCATTTCTTTTAATTTGCTACTTTGAACGTTTACTTTAATAATTCAGATCTTCATGGAGAAATGCTTCAATAGCTGAACGCCAAATCAATATTTAATGTGTCATTAAATAATAAGTAGATGATTATTAATAGTAGGACATAATTGAGCAGCAGCAGTTGTTACTGTCAGTAACTGAGCTTCATTACACAGATGATGATGATGATGAAAGTGTCTGATATGAATTAAAGGATCAGTAACGATCAGTGAGGGAATCTGACAGGACTAACGGTCATTAGCATTAGCAAAAAGAGCATTAGCAATTCCAGAAAACACACTTCAGCAGAACATCATCAGCTCAAAGTGGAGGAATATTTTACAGGTAGTCGCTGTATGAAGAATATTTGTGTATAATATGTCACAGTTTACTTTATTCTGCTCTCCTCACTTACATTAGTGATCTATAGTGTCTTAATAAAACTAGTGAACAATAACACAAATGATAACATCTGATGTTTCTGCTCACGTCATGACCATGTAAACCAGTGAACGTGATGTGTGGTGCGATACTGACGCTAGATACCGATAAACTACCACAGCAATAACAACAGAAACACATCCAGGAGGAACAACACACACTCACACTGGTTTACTATCAATGTTTGGATATTTGTGCAGGAAAACAAGACAAAAATATACTGAAATTTTGCTCCAGTTTGTAGAGAAGCTTGTTTCTGCTGTGATATTGTGATATAAACTCTCAATTGCGAGAAAACAAGTAAGAAAAAAGTGGCGAAAACAAGCTGTCGTACATTGTTAAAGATATTATTCCCTTGAACAGAAACATTTTGGAAGCTTGTTTCCGCCACCGAACCAAAGATAAACAAGGAAAATTGCAACTTTTTATCTCACAATTCTCACTTTTTATATCAGAATTGCATGATATAAAGTTACAATGATCTTTAGTCATTTAGATGATCTTTTTTTCTTGATGTTGATGATTAACTATTTATTTTTACTTTTTATTCAGTTTTTGCTGTTGTGTTTTTTTTGTTTTTTTTAACATGTTCAATAAAGAGAATAAAAAAAATAAAAAATAAAAAAAAAACAATGGAAAGATATAAAGTCAGAATTCTGTTATAAAGTCAGAGTTGTGAGATGTAAACTTGCAATTATGAGGAAAAAAAGTCACAATTATCTTTTAAAAGCTTTCATAGGAGAGAAACGCTTCTCGCTTTATATTCCACATGTAAAAACACAGCGACTGTAAGCAGCATTTGTTTTGTTTTCACACACCGAGTGTAAAAGACGTTCTGTTAATGACCCTCGCTAACGACACTTTCCAAACAGCGAGAAACTCCGCAAATCGTCCATAAACGGATTAAAGGAATAAACACTCCTTCACACTCGTCTGCAGTTTCATTTATAATTCATGAAGTGTGTTAAAAGCTGTAAGTGTGTGGATCGACCCGCTCTGTTGAGGCCCTCGAGAGCCGACGAGACGTTCTGTCCTCTCACATCACATGACATCACATCACAGGTGAGGGACACTAGAGCACGGTGAGCACGAAGATCTAGTGCACAACAGAGGGGCCATAATACTTCAGAGCGAATCACTGATCAGATCCTCCATAATATTCATTTATTACACGAGAAGCATTAATGAAACTTATATTTCTGTGATGCACATGAGAGATATGAAGAAACAGAGCAGAGCATGACAAGTGCGGATGAGGTAGGGTGACCAACTGTCTTGTTTTCATATAATTATATAACAATTTTCTATCCATACAGAGGAAGCATAACCTACTTTAAATGTATTGAAATGAATAAGGTATCTTTGAGTAAACTTCGAGTATCATTTGAGTTGGCCCATGTGTTTGCTGGGCCCAGTGTCCTGGTTTTTGGTAATCAAAATATGGTCACCCTAGATGAGGAAGAACTCACAGATAAGATCATTGATCATTCATAACGCAGAATCAGAGAGTTCATAATCAATCTGCATTATCACATTAGTTTGACTGTTTTAATAATATCTTTCATTTTAGTGTCCAAAAGATAATCAAATTAAATTTAATGTTCATCCAAAACAAGGCATATCTGTATATTATATACTATTATAGACCAATATAAATCATTTAATTTAATTAAATGTTATGTAATTAAATGTAATGTTATAATATATATTATAGAACAATATAATCCATTTTTAAATATTTTATAATATATTATTATTGAGAAATATATATATATATATATATATATATATATATATATTATATAACAAAACA